TCCCCATACCCATTCCTCATATTTCCCACAGAAAGAACAGGCGTATTCATGCACTCAACCACAACCACATTCATCTGGTCTCACACAGGACCATGATACTCAGCCAATGAGAAATCAGCACCACCAGGATGCCCAAGTAGGATGTGGACCTCAAAACAATAGAAAGGACTTTCACTAAGTAGGCACCTATGCAGTAATAGCAAAAGCTTTCCTTTGGGTGAACTTACAGCAAAAAAGGCTTATTATAATATCATAATCATACACATGTGCCCCCTCAATGGTTTTTTCTGTAGGCATTGTGGATAATGGCATACACAATTCCACTGAGGCTGGGATCCCATCCCTATTACATAACCCCTTAACAAACCCTTTCGCCTTTTTAATGTTCATAATTTCTGTTACTTAATTGCATCTTTACTCTATAAAAATCCATCTTCTTTTCACTAAATTTGCTGGTTAATCTTGGAACTTAGCCTGCTTCATGAGAAGTGTCAATCTCAATAAATGCCTATACTTGGATGAGAGGTGATCTGACTCTGAATTCTTTGAGATGGTTCTGCCACAGCATATCATGAGACAGCAACAATTATACTAGTAATTAGATTTCTCTAGAATTATCTCTTCTAGCTTGAGTTAGAAGCTCGCAATGCAGCTTGAAATGATCAACCAAAATCTTGGCAACACTGCATTCCTGTGTCAGTGTACCTTAAGTGAATTGAATCAAAGAATGTAGAAGCCGTTCCCATCACAGAATTCTGGTCCTGTCACCAAGGAACAACCTCCAAAGAGTAGAGCAATATTGCTGCTTCGGGACTCCAGAATGATTGTATTATCTTCCACTTGTGAGCTTGTCATGGGAAATCACTCAAGCCCTGGGAACTATTGTTGTAATCCACCTTCCCCACTCCCTTCCCATCTGTGATTTATGTACATCATCTCTGTCTTCACTCCAGCAAGGTGGAATTCTGATCAGGAGAATTCCTGACTTCCAAATCTGTCCTCATAATGAAACTAATTAATTAAATGGTTACTTGATTACTAGCCTTTGTCTCTAGCCTGCTGTTTCATCATTCTCAGGTTACAGACTGGCTCAGTAAATTCCTATTAACAGCTAAGAAGAGAGATCAAATTCTTACCTGGTCTCCTCTCTCTGAGCTCAGCAGCATGGGCAGCCTCATGACCTCAATCTTCTGCTCCCCTCCTGGTGGGAATGAAAATCTCACTTGGCAAAGGCTAGATATATCTATTCATAGCTAGATAGATCAAAGGTAGAGATACCTATTCACAGCACCCTATGAGCCACTTATGCATCGACCTATTGGAACACACACAGCCTATGTGGGCAACACATCCAATTATGGGAAGAGGATCTAGAGGTTTAAAGTAGCCTTCCTAGAAAGTTCCTCACCTCCACCACCCCTCCCCCCCATGACATCCCTTAAGTAGACATGAAGGTTGGTCAAATCCATTGCTGATTGTTTGAGGCTCTGGGATGATAAACTGGTGACACCTAAGAGATGATGGGGACAAGGTAGAGATTATTCTCAGAACCATATTCTCAGGAGAAGGAGGGAAATATTGAATAATGCCTCCTGAACATTACTACAGATGCTGTCATGGTGCTGTCTGTCAGGACAGGGTACAAGAAGATCATCTGATATGTCAGGCCTATGCTTTCTAAAGAACCCTTCGAAGGTGGAGCCAAGATGGTGGAGTAAAAGCAGTGACTTGCTTGAGCTCTCCCCCAAAACCCTCCAAATATCCATAAAAATGGCTCTAAACAACTTCTAAAGCAGCAGAACCCACAAAAAGGCAGAGTGAAACATATTTCCAGCCCAAGGCATCCTGGAAGGTTGATTAGAAAGGTCTATCGCACTGGGCTGGGATAGAAATATATTTCAGGACAGATGCAAGGGCGGGCAAAGACCAGGCTTCAGCAAACCTGGTGCAGGCCTTAGAGGACTGAATCACGGGCAGCTGTAGCAGTTTCCAGACTTCTCAACCCACAAATGCCAAAGACAACTCAGAAAGCCAATAGGAAATGTCTGGGACTATGAGGAGAGAGAAGCTCTGTCCCAGTCCAAGACGCAGAGCAACTCCAGACCGGAGGCTGCTTGTAGAGCTTCCAGCCCACAGACTGAGGGGGAATTGAGTGACTGATCAGAGGTGGGTTGCAGGGATCTCTTTTCTGGTGCTGAGGCAAGATCCTCTTCTTTTGCCCATGCTTGGATCTGGGTGAAAGTTCTGGGTGGTGATTTGGGGCAGGGAGGAGTGCTGGCATGGTGGAGCTTGAAGTGGTGGTTGAGAGAAAATCTTCCTAACATTTCCAAGACAGAAAAGAGTACTTGTGGTCACTCATAGACCAGAGCACAGGCCAGGAAAGGAGTAAACACCTCGCCCTTGATCATACCATCTCGGAAGAACTGAAAATTTTACAGGACCGTGGAAGTATCTCTGAAAAAACCTGCACAAAACCCCTGAAGCTTGGGACAGTACATTCTCCACATTGGAAGCAGACCCCTACCCTAACAAAGAGTTTATAACTCAAATAATTGACTATTTGAGCAGCACAGAAAGAGTCAGACCATAGAATCTTACTTTGGTAACAAAGAAGATCAGAACATACAACCAGAAGAAGACAACAAAATCAAAGTTCCTACATCCACAGCCTCCAAGAAAAATATGAATCAGTCCCAGGCCTTGGAAGAGCTCAAAAAATGTTTTGAGAAGCAAGGAAGAGAAGTAGAGGAAAAACTGGGAAGAGAAATGAGAGTGATGCAAGAAAATCATGAAAAAGTAGTCAACAGCTTGCTAAAGGAGAACCAAAAAATACTGAAGAAAATATCACCTTAAAAAATGGCCTAACACAAATGGCAAAAGAGGTCCAAAAAGCCAACAAAGAGAAGAATGCCTTCAAAAGCAGAATTGGCCATATGGAAAAGGAAGTCCAAAAGCTCACTGAAGAAAATACTTCCTTAAAAATTAGAATGTTGCAATTGGAAGCTAGTGACTTGATGAGATAACAAGACATTGTAAAACAAAACTAAAAGAATGAAAAAAATAGAAGACAATGTGAAATATCTCACTGGAAAAACAAGTGGCCTGGAAAAGACATCCAAGAGAGATAATTTAAAAATTATTGGACTATCTGAAAGTCATGATCAAAAAGAACCTAGACATCATCTTTCAAGAAATTATCAAGGAAAACTGTCCTGATATTCTAGATCCAGAGGGTAAAATAGAAATTGAAAGAATCCACCCATCACCTCCTAAAAGAGAACCCCACAAGAAAACTCCTAGGAATATTGTAGCCAAATTCCAGAGTTCCCAGGTCAAGGAGAAAATACTGCAAGTAGCAAGAAAGAAACAATTCAAGTATTGTGGAAAGACAATCAGGATAACCCAGAATTTTGCAGCTTCTACATTGAAGGATTGGAGGGCTTGGAATATGATATTCTGGAGGGCAAAGGAGATAGGATTACAGCCAAGAATCACCTACCCAGAAAAACTGAGTATAATCCCTTGGGGGAAAAATTGACATTCAGTGAAATAGAGGACTTTCAAGTGTTCCTCTTCTTTTTTTTTTTTTTTTTTCGCTTCGGCAATGGGATTAAGTGACTTGCCTAGGGTCACACAGCTAGTAAGTGTAATGTGTCTGAGGCCGGATTTCAACTCAAACCCTCCTGAATCCAGAGTCAGCGTTCTATTCATTGCACCACCTAGCTGCCCCTCAAGCATTCTTGATGAAAAGACCAGAGCTGAATAGAAAATTCAACTTTCAAATACAAGACTAAAGAGAAGCAAGAAGAGGTAAACAGAAGAGAGAAATCATAACGTGCTTATTAAGGTTGAACTGTTTACATTCCTACATGGAAAGATGATATTTGTAACTCATGAGACCTTTGTCAGTATTAGGGTAGTTGGAGGGAAAAATTATATGTATAGATAGCTTGATACATAGAGGGCCCAGGATGAGTTGAAGATGAATGGGATATATCTAGAGAATAAAATTAAAGGGTGACAGAGGATTATACTGGGAGAAGGAGAAAGAGAGAGGTAGAATGGGGTAAGTTTTCTCACATAAAACAGACTAGAAAAGACTTTTACAGTGGAGGGGAAGAGGTGGAAGGTGAGAGGAAATGAGTGAATCTTATTCTCATCAGATTTGGCTTAAGGAGGGATTAACATACATACTCAATAGGGTATGGAAAGCTATTTTACCCTACAGGAAAATAGGTGGAAAGGCAGATTGGGAAAGGCAGTAATCAGAAGCAAACATTTCTGAGGAGGGACAGGGTCAAAAGAGAGAACATAATAAACGGGGTGTCGGATGGGTGAAGGGAAATATACTTTTCCACAGCATGACTACTATGGAAGTGTTTTGCATGACTAATCAATTATAACCTGCATCGAGTTGTTTGCCTTCTCAATGAGGGTGGGTGTTGAGGGAGAAAGGGAGAAAATTTGTAACCCGAAGTTTTAAAAACAAATGTTAAAAAATTGTTTTCACATGCAACTGGGAAATTAGATATACAGGCAAAATTATATGTATAGATGGGCAATGGGGTATAGAAATCTATCCTGCCCTACAGGAAAATAGAAGAGGACAGGGATAAGAGAAGAGGAGGGAGATAGAAGGGAGGCCAGATTAGGGGAAAGGGTATTCAGAATGCTCTTGTCTTGAGGTTGGGGAGAGTCGAGATAGGGAGAAAATTTGGAATTCAATATCTTGTGGAAGTGAATATTGAAAACTAAAAATGAATAAATGAATAAACAAAAAGAAATAACCCTTAAAAAAAAAAGAAATAACCCTTCACATCTTTCACCTAAATGGACCCTGATGTCATTCATCTGAGCAGCCCTCATAGTAAGAGGGCAGGGGAAAAGCAGAGCAGGGAGTAAGGAAGGGGACCCGCTTCAGTGGGGTACCTGGGATAGCCTTATAAGCCTGGCTTGAGAGAAAGAAGAAGATTCTCTTCCCTCTTCCTTCTTTCCACTCCCTAGCCCTTTCTAGGATGTGAGAGACTGGGATCTGTGGCTGGGAGAGCTGGGCTGTTAGGCCCAGCCCTTCCCTGGCCTCTGTCTCTGTGGTGTCTCTGACTCAGGGGCTCGGGAGGAAGCAGCTGGTCACCGGAGCTAAAGAGCTCACCAGCCTGGGAAGGTTTTTGTTCAGGCCTGCCCAACTGTGGGTTAGGGTACTCATAATAATGCTGGCAGTAGTAATGTCCAACATCTTCAGCCTCCACACTGCTGATCGTGAGAGTATAATCCATCCCAGACCCACTGCCACTGAAGCGGGCAGGGACCTCAGAGTGCAGGTTGGAAGCACCATAGATCAGGAGTTTGAGAGACTGTCCTGGCAGCTGCTGGTACCAGGCTAACCACTTGTTAATACCCTGACTGGCTCTGCAGGTGATGGGGACTCTTTCTCCTGGAGCAACAGACAGGGAAGCTGGAGACTGGGTCAGCAAAATGGCTGCCCAGGACCCTTGGGTGGAGAAAAGAAAACGAGAAGAAATAGATTGAAATCCAGGAACATGCCCTGTAGTGCGAGCTCTTATTGACTTGAGATGTCCTTCCCTCTAACTATAGGAACAAGCCTATCATCACCCTTTCCTGTCCTTCATCATCCTCCCCTACCCCAACCCATCTTCAATTTCCAAGTTTTAGAATCTCCTGGTATCGCTCAAGTGAACACTTGTCAAGTTGTTAACACCCGCAGCTAATCTTACCTTGGGCCCAGAGCACCAGGAGGCAGAGCAACTGGGATGGGGAGATCATTGTTTCTCTTGTAGACCTTCAGCCTTGAGACGTCTGAGGCCAGTGTGAGACAGGTAGGGATGGGGACATATTTATGTCTCAGGCAGTGGTTGTGCAATTTGCAAAACAGTCCCAGGTATGCGGTCCCTCCTCCAAGAGTCAGTGCTGGGTATTACATGTGGGTCACACTAGCTCAGGAGTCTATGTGGGATACTGTGACCTCATTGTCTGTTGATCTCTCCTTCTGCCTCTACCAAGCCTGCCTGGAGGGTCCCATGGTAAGGGTGTAACAAGTGGCTCATTGTTGTTATGAACATGAGAATCCTGTCTTCTCTGGGCAGAATAGATAACTATTGGTTTTAAAAAAAATAATTAACAAAATGGATCGACAGGTGCCTGGCTAGAGGTAGCAGAAAAGACCAACAGAAAAGAGAAATGAACTGAACTAGTATTTAGTTTCAGAAGAGAGAAAAGAGAAACTTTCAAAGCAGTGGGAGGAACAGACTCAGAGTAGATAAGAAATGATATAACCACTTTGGGAACGCAGAAAAAGAATTCAGGACAGACTGAAAAATGGGCTTGGGGAGCTGGACCAATACCATTGGGACTGCCCAGACCTGTCTCAAGGCCCCACTCTGCCTTGCTGAGCACACCTTTGTCTGCATCCCAGGTGTCTCTGATTTCCACACGCGCCTATAGTCTGTACTTTTAACTTCCTCACTCCCTAACTTGATTCAACTCAATTAAAGGTGACCCAAAGGCAATGGAGACTGTGGCAAGCTACCTGAAATGTCTTGCTGATAAGAAGTTTGTAAAATGCATGATGAGCGACATGGATGATGAGAAACAGAGTGAGCAAAGATGAGACTCATTAAAGGTACAGTCCAGTTTCTATAGATTTTGCCTTCAGACATTTAAAGAATCAGAGGAAATTCTTCAGTGTTTGGGTTGATGTTTTTGGCACCGGTAGGGAAACCTTGGAGGGGTTGTATTCTGTCTTGGGACAGGTGAGACTATGAGTCTCTTTACATGTTTAATCCCATTCTAGCTCCTCCTATTCCTAGGCAACTAATTGGGACAGTGGATAGTTGGCTGAGCCTGGAGTCATGAAGTCCTGAATTCAAATCTCACCTCTGACACTTGAAAGCCGTGTGATCCTGGGCAGTTCAATTAGCCTCAGTTTCCTCAACTGTAAGATGGGGATAATAATAACACGGGCCTCACAGAGATGTTGTGAGAATCAAAATGAGAACATATTTGTAAATAAAGTGTTTGCTACATGATAGGCACTAAATAAATCACCTGATTCCTCCTTCCATCAACTTGTCCTTTTTGCCCAAGCTAACCTGCCCACCTTCATGCACATGAATTCTCTGGATTCTCTGGCCATCTCCTTGACCTCACGCCACCAATCTGTTTTATGTATCTGCATTGCATTTCTCTCCCCTGGCTCCTGCTACACTAATGAAATAGCTATTTCTAAAGTCACCACTGACCTCAGTGTTTTTTCTGTCCATATCCTTCTTGACCTTGACCTCTCTGAGGTACATGATAGTGTCGGTACTAGAGCTACAGAGCTTCAACAAGAAGAGGAGAGACTGAGAAATTCATATGACACCAAAACCACGAAGGGACCCAGCAATTCAATCCTGGCTTCAGATGCCCATCTATAAAGGCCTATATCTTGGATAACTATGAGATGAACTAGATATCCTAGGATAGAAGGCAAATTTGACCTTAGATGTATTATTTTGCCTTTAAGAGTGATACTCTAGACTTGAGAGTGACTCTTAAATTGCATATTCAAAATAATCTGGATAGATAATAGTGTGTGTGTGTGTTTGTGTGTGTGTGTGTGTGTGTGTGCAATAGGAATAGCAATGTATATTAAGAAGGCATAAACACAAGAGGAAAATCAGGTATTGGAGGGAGAAGAATGGTGTTAGAGATCTTTTGGGTGAATATGTAAGAAAAGTGAAATAAACACTCTTGTCCTGGGGCTGCAATTCACCAGAGTAGGAGAAGACAGATGAGTGGTTCTAGACACAGATTTTTTAGGCTGGCATGGAGGTTTGACACTAGCATTAAGGTGGTCTTCCATTACTCAAGTAATGCAGCCTCTCACCTTCCCAAAGGTGAGAAATGATGATTTTCATGGATTTCCATTATGAAATTCCCATTCTTTATATAAGAAAGGACCCAAGTAGAGCAACTACAGTTCTAGACATGATTCTCCCCAATAACCAGGCAGCTTGGGGAGAAGTGATCATGTCATCTTAAAACTTGTAATAGAAAAGGGGAGGAAAACCAGGTGTCATCTGGCCTGCTGCCTAGATTTATGAAGAACAGATTTCAAAGGGCTCAGAGGAGGAATAAAGAAGACCTTAGGGGACTATAGTAGCCTCCCCAAACTACTAAACAAAGAAGCCCAAAGAGTCCTGACAGAATCTTCCTGCCTGAATAAGACCAGGAGTAACAGCGCAACTCCACCTTTCTTTCTAGGTAGGAAATTTGAAGATCATCCAGCCACCCATTTTCCTCCATACTTTCCCCATTTTGAATTCGTGCCTGTGTTGAACCTTGTCCTACATGCCAGATCTGAGCTCTATGCTCTTTGTCCCCAGTGGATTGGCTCTGTTCAATCCAGATAAGAAAGGTTTAAAAATCAACCCCACTTCCCCTGTGTTGGGCACCTAACTCCCTCTAGGATCCCAGTGGCTTTCCCTGTGTGTGTCCAGACTTCCTAACAGCCCCTCCATTGTGTGAAAAGTCCCTCTCCATAGAACTTTCTTGCCTCATTCTCTCTGGCCATTCCATCATGCTGCATTTTGTCCAGCTGTACGGAGTCTCCCAGCCAAGCCAATTTTGTCTTTAGGAGGATCAGTCATCGTTTAGAACTGTGACAAACAACTCAGCAGCCACTTCTTAGCCCATGTTTTTCACTTAGAGAATGTAGACAGTCAAGGCTGAATCCAGAACTGTGCACCTCTTTGCTTCTCTGGGACACCTGGGCTTTTTCCCTTTGCAACGTAAGTGGCAGATAAAGGAGATTGCTATCTGTCTGTGAATGAAATTCAGGCCTTCTGAAACTCTTTGAGTCTGTATGAAGACAAAACCCTGGACTAGAATTTTATGAGAGAAAGCAGCACAGCAAGGACTGGAAGACCTCCAAGAATGAAAGTCAGAAGACATTAAGAGAAACTATTCCAACGAGGAGGACGAGTATGTTTATGGGGGAGGGAAGTCATCTAAAGAGAGTGCAAGTATGAGGCAGCCCTTCACCAGTAGGTGGCAGCAAATACCTATGTAGTCTCCTAAGGCCAGCGCTCTTTGCACTATGGGGCCTTCTAGTGGCCACAACTAGAAGAGAAGTAGTCCCTAAATGGGTCACCTATATTCACCCCTAATGTATTGTAGCTGGCCTTTCAGAAATAGGACCTCACAAGCTGCTCACTGTGGCATGGAGTTGTTACTGGCTCCTTAACACTCTCTAGCTAATGGTGAATTCAGGGAACAGTTGGTAGGAAGTGCTTATGTTGGGGGAAAAATAAAAACAATCATGACCTTTGTTACCCTACCCACAAGCATAAAGTGCCTCCCCCTGGATGAATTTAGAGTCATGACAGGACAAGCTCTCTGAATGTGGAATTAATGTTTGAAAGAAGACTTAAAAAGTCATCCAATCCCCTTTGATTTCCTTAATTTTTGTTTCTTCCTTTCATGGCTGGATATGGTTTGTTAAAATCATGGAGTTTTGGCTGGAAAGTGGAGCTTAGGATTTGTTTTTGGGTGTGATTTCATGGTTTTTTGGTGATGAATAGGGCAGAGGGTCAACGATTTACTGCTTACTCTGCCATCTTGGCTCCCAGAAGTCTCCTTGCTCAAGTCTTTTCAAGTTATCCATTGGGGGCAGCTGGGTGATTCAGAGGATAGAGCATCAGCCTTGGAGTCAGGATGACCTGAGATGGCAGACGCTTGACCTTACCAGCTGTGAAACCCTGGCCAAGTCACTTAACTCCACTTGCCTCTCACACAAAAAATAATAAATAAAAATAAATTCATCTTTCTTCACAATGCTATTGTAATTATATTTTGTCATCGTATAGATCATTCTCCTTGTTTTGCTCAACTCGCTTTGAAGCAGTTCATACAAGTCTTCTAAGTTGATTCAAAACCATCCATTTCACCATTTCTTAGGACACAGTAACATTCCATTCCATTCACAGACCACAACTTGTTCAGCCATCCTCTGATAGACGAGCAGCTGCTTATTGTCCAGTTTTTTTGTTATTCCTACAAAGTGGATAAATGTAAAGGCTTGTATTTAGGTGCAGAATAATATCTTCAAAATTTCTGGATGAAGGAGCCATGTTAGACAGATGCTTGAAAAAAGTGTAGCAGAATTAATAGACTGAATTTCAATATGAGTTATCAATTTAATATGGCATCTAAAAAAGCCAATGGAAATTTGGACTGCAAAATAAGGGTCTAACTTCCAGGAATGAGGAACTGGTTGTCTTCCTGTACTCTTCCCTCTTCAGAGCTCATCTGAAGCATTGCATTCAGTTGTGGGCTTCCTGCTCTGCAAAGGGCATTGATAAACTAGAGCTTGTCTAGAGGACAATAACTGGATTGGTGAGGGACCTTGAGTCCATATCTTTGAGGCTCATTTGAAGAAACTGGGGTTACTTAACCTCTGGGTAAGTGAAGACCCAGGGAGAACGTGAAAGTTATGTTCAAATACTTCAAGGGCTATCAATTGAAAGATGATCATTTCACCATGTCGTACTTGTTCTGACAAGCCAAAAACCTTCCCAATAAGATCGGGGGTGAAGCAAGGATGCCAATTAGCACCACTGTTATTCAATCTTGTACTAAAAATACTAGCTATGCCAATAAGATATGAAAAAGAAATCTAAAGAATTATAATAAGTGATGAAAAAACACAACTTCCACTTTTTGCAGATGATATAATCCTAGAGAATAAAAAAAAAACCAAACTAGTTCAAATACCTCAGTAATAGTGTAAGCTGTAAAAGCATTTATCCTGAAAGGACAGAATTGGATGGGGAAAAAATGGAAGTTACAAAGATGCAGATTTAGACTTGATTTTAAGAAAATACTTTCTAGCAATTAGACCTATCTAAAAATGGAATAAGTAACTTCAAGAAGTGGTG